AATGCTGCAGTTGGCAGCTGTTATCTGCTATATTTTTTTTCAGTTGGCTAATTATGAGCCAGAAATAAATTTGAAGCTGAAATACTCTAATAAGGCAAATAATTCTGACTCTTCATCATGCTTTAAAACTAGTAAAATATAAACCCCATAAAAGGAACATCCAGTCCAGTGCATCCAGATATTCAAGACTGTTGATGGATATAAAGGAAGTGTCAAAAAGAGGTCAGTTACAATTTAACACTGGCAGAAATAACTGTCTACAAAAGTATGAATAATCTTCTAATGACGCTTTAAAAACCTTTGCTCTGTCTTAACATTTACAGTTTATTTAGTCCAGAGAAAAAAGCCATGAAGCAATTTTAAGAAAACATTTGTAAACAGCTATTTTTTCTCGACAGACTATTTGGCTACAATTACAGATATTATGCCAAGATAATATACATAATTCAATGAATCCAGACAATATTGAATCAAATCAACTAGTATTATTTTCCATCTCTTTGAAACTGAACATTCAAGCCATCTGAACTTTCAATGTCATTTGGCACTTCAAGAAAAAACTTGCTAAAATACAACCAGGCCTGAAAACCTATACTTACTGTATGAGTAACCTCCTGACCTTTCATAGCAGGATCTCACAAACTAGATCTTCAGGAGCACTGTATGAGCCATCAATGTTTTTAATTAACATTGTTAAAGGCACGCTTCTATAAAAGTCTTATTTAAATCCCTGCATATTTTTGTCATTATCAAAACCCCACATTTTGTAAAAGGAGATGATTTGCCTTAACCCGAGTTCTGCAAAAAATTACTCCATATGTAACATCTGTTCAAAGTTTCAAGCTTTAAAAAAGGATTGAATATGATTTTAGGAGATGGTTAAAGAGGGGTATGTGATGATGAGTTAAAAAAATAAAAGGAGTCATGAGCAATCTTCATTTTGGTGTCTAGAGTTCATTTTCTGTTGCTCATTCACATGTTCTGACTGTCTTTCCAAAAATGCTCACCCTTGTCCCCCAAAGAAATACAGCATAAAGCTCTAGTAATTCTTCACCAGGCGCTGACTGAAACAAGGGATTCATAACAGCTGAGGCAAGACATATGATACACTTGATCAAGCAAACAGAATTAGAAAGAAGCAAATCATAGAATCATAAAACGGTTTGGGTTGGAAAGGACCTTAAGATCATCCATTTCCAACCCCTTGCCACAAGCAGGGACACCTCACACTAGAACATGTCACACAAAACAACATTTTTTCCCTTTGCTTTCAACTGATAGCCAGCCAGCCAGATGTGACAGTCCTTGGGATTGCAGTGGTCACTTTGGTCAACAAAGGTTTGCTCTTCCACAGCACAATTCCTCTGGCTGCCCCAGTAAGTGATCAAATGTGCTGAAGCCCATCTTCAGCACTAAGAAAATGTGAAATTAATTGAGCTCATATACTTTAAGTACTTTGACAGACTAAGGCCAAAGTGCTTGCAGAGCAAAGTTTAAACAATGCCAGGAAAAAAGGCTAGTGGTGTTTTGAGTAACCTGCATCAGTAATGATTAATGAAGAATCTCAGAAACCTGATTTATCTGTTGCAGAGACTGCATAATTCACTAGAAATTCGATAACAGTTGCTAAGAAGTATCATCTTCTTGTAGGGGTGAAAAATGCATATATTTCATTAGTCTATATCTAACCTAAGTATATTTAATACTTTTCCATCTTCATTAGTCCTTACTGAAATTTTTGTTCCTTTCTCACTCACTTCCACATCTTCAGGTAACACTCTACACTGCGTATCAGGTAGCAAGCTGACCTTATCCAGCTACCATGCGGTCTTTACCTCTTTGTGTTCTCATGTCTATACTGTATTTTCTCTTACCATACACAATGACATTATACTAAACCATCCTACTTAATATTACTATTTGGCCAAAGGAGCACACTTCTCCAAAAATCAATCCTGAATCTCTTGCTTAAAAACCAGCAACAACTGCAGTCCCTCCTCTCCTGAGTGTATTATTAATTATACATCTGAAGCATGTTCATCGTCTGTGTTTACTCTTGGGTGATTCTAAGGTTTATATGAATAACAAACAGTAATGTGATCATTTACAAGTAAACCAGTATTTTCACTGCCTTGGCACCTGAGCATAATGAAAGTCAAAACCAGTCAGCTTTTACCTGGGTTTCTGTTTAGCACAGTCAGCTCTGAGGGTAAGAGCTATCACTCACGAAGAGCTAGAATGTGCGGAAAAAAGCTGTGAGACTCAAAAGCCAAGAAGATGTATTGCCTAAACAATTTTTATTGCTTTTTTTGGGTGGAGGTTATATAGTTCTTTTTTTAGCTCAGCTCTCATCATCCCAGCAATGACTTAAAAAACATCATTGCAGCATCTACGGGTAAAACAGATTAAATAGTTGAAATAATGACTGTATAAGAGCAAGAAGGCAGCCAGAGGAATTTGAGTGTTGGTCATCACTGGCATCACATTGTTCAGAAGTTTCTGCCACCTATGGAAAGCAAAGGACTGATAACTGACAGATTATGCTGTCAGAGTGCAGACTGTACTTCCTAGAAGAAGAAACTCTCCTACAGAGATAAAACCAGCATTTTACTGGAGGTTATTTTTTCCTTATTTTTCATATCCTACTCAGAAGGGTCATTAATAGTTATTTTTATGTATTAACAGGTAATTTTTTCATGCTACAGCTTGCGATGCATATTAATCAGGGTTCTTGCCAAATTAAATTAGTTTTTTCAGCATTCAAAAAGCAGTTAAACTTCTACTGACATTTTCCCCCTCTCTTCATCAACCTATTTTTGGAGTAAAATAATGTACTCAGGCCTGAAGACACTTGAGCCTCAGGAATGAAAAACAGCCACAAGCCAAAATGTATTCACAGGAGAGCTATAGGGCAATAAGGTTGTCATCTATGCACAAAAATACTTTCAAAGACGTAAAACATGATGTTAAAATCTTCACCACTCCCTGCTGCATGTTAAAGTCACACACACTGCTTTGTGCTCACAGTAATGAGCAGGAAAAAGGAAACAAGACTATTTTTATGATTATTGCTGCTGCCAGCACTATTGTAGCATTAGGACAGTCATGTTAACATGGGACTCATGTTAACACCATATCCTTACCAAACCTGGTTTTCTTATTACTGCTAGTATTAGGAATAAAGTATAAATAGCATAAATGATAAGTTAAATCAGAGCTGTGCGATAACCCTAGGTCCCAACTGTGCCGTCTGTAGCTGAAAACCTACCTGGACATCTATATTGTAATTATATACATATATGTATATATATATGCAGGTATATAATATACTGAAGTGTTTTAAAGTCAAGCAACTACAGCTAGGTTGTCCGTAAAAATAAAACATTTCAACACAAATGGTCTGGTTTTGGCACACTTGCAAACAACTGAAAAAAAATTCTTAAATTAATAAGTAATAGCTAAGCATTTAAAATGCTAGTGATACTACCTTCTCACGCATAATTTAGTACATAACAGCATACAGTCATAATATATATAGCTTATAATGTCTATAAAGGTTCCCAACATAGTAAATTCAATGCTAAAGGGACATGAGTATTTTACACAAGATTTGTCTGCCTTAAATAAAAGTAGGACTTAAAAGCATTTGAAAGACTAGACAAGAAAAACAAAACCCAAAAAAATATAGGAATGTTTTTGGAATCAGCCTCCAATATTTTCCTTTTTGTAACCGAATAGGCTAATTTGCATAGATCTCTCACACAGAAATGGAAGAGAAAAGCATTCTGACCAAATTAGAAAATGACTGTACAAGCACAAACCTCATTTCTGCAGCAAATACAGGATTTGTTTTTTTATTTTTAAGTTGATAATATTTCGAGTGGAAAATATTACTTCAATTGAAAATGTGTTCCAGGCTAGAAACATTATTATGCACTAGGTTAACCTGGTGCTATAAAGTTTTAAGTAAAACAAGCTTTTGAAATTGCATATGTAGCAATTTTTTACTACAGCAAATTGAGTAATAAACATTCAAGATAGATGAACATCTAAGATATCCACCAACTGAATGTCCAAAATAAATAGGGTCAAATAGATACATGGTCCAGCTAGGATTGGCCGGCTGGACAAAATATCAAAGCATTTACAGTGATTTTTAGAATATCTGCTAAGTAGGAATTAGAGAAAATGTAAGCCAGCTCTGCTCCTAAAATCCAAGCAAGGATTCTAGCAAGGGAGAAAACCTACCCACAGGCTCTTATTCCTTTTAATCATCTCAAACTTCTTCCTTTGGCAGCAAGAATAACCAGCATGTGTTAAAGATCTGGAAACGCATTTCCCTGAAGAACTAACCTATAAATAAGTTACTTCATATCTACTGTACATGTTTATTTTGTTCAATCACACATTCATATATCCTGCACACACTGCAACTCATCTGTATTTGAATCACTGCCACATCAGTATTACTTAATGGTTAGGTTACACTGTTATGGCCTCAAATCTCATTGAAATGACCCACGAACATAGCAATCTAACAAGCAATCACACCTTTATACTCTGGTCCCCTCTGGACTCCATCCCTACTCCCAGATTCATACAGGGGTGGAAGACCATTTCCAGGTAGAAAGCAAGTATCACGCATTCTCTTCCCCACCACTCTACCAAGCAGCAGAACTATTTTACACAGCTTCTCCAAGTCACCATCACCTGAAAACACTGCCAGCACTGGGCAGCTCACTTGCTACATCCACATGCTGCTGTGCATTCCTTTTGCCCATTTAACATTACAATTCATCTCCACTCTCAGACATAAAACCAGAAGCTTTTCAGAGCAGGCAGTTTTATACATGTCTGTGTGTTCAGTAAGGTCTGGTACAGACAACAAGGTTGAACTTGCTGGGATCTTCAAGCATTTTTGTGAGCATCAGCTTCTACAGCTTGGGTGAGATTTGTTATGTTAAAGGCAAAAAGAACATAGGAATACAGAGCAGAATTACCTTCCCTTAGACGCTCAACCACAAAAGTGAAGCCGGTAGTCCGCGGATGTAAGACGTACTCATATTTTTGAAGTCCATTCTTCTCAGCAAATTCATTACTGCGAGCTTTGGTGCTGGCTGAAGGACAGAATAAAAAGCATCATTGTCAATTAGTGTGCATGGAGACCAAGAATTAAATATAATTATTATACGACAGGAACAGTACGACAGCCGTTCACACAGTACGAATATGCAACAGCTTTTCAGGTGGAGGCAGACAGTGAGCGTGCTTTCAGCTGGCTCTAGTATGGTATGAGGAAGAGCCATGTGGATTGCAAGAAAAGCTTTTTTATCCTCTCCTTTCATTATAGAAATTAATCAGCAATGCTTTCATAATTATCAAATGCAGTCTGAAATCTATAAATTAAAGTCTGTTACTAGTTCTCTATACATTTCAATACCCATTTTACAGTAAAATGTGTTAACTGGCTCAATTATTTTGTTTAACTCAAAAGGCACAATACGTAGTAATGCAGATTTGCTATGATGTATAAAAATACCTTGAGGTCAATGTTTAACCACATTAAACTTATTTCAGAAATAAAACATTAAATGGAGGAAAAGAGTTAATGTAATACATTAGAATAGTATTCTCCATCTTCATTCTGAACTTGACATGCTTTATTCATCAACCTGTGCTGCACATACATACCCTGGCTTAATGTTTTGTCCCACTGCCTCAGTGTCACTACACATGCTTGCTGCTAGACACAGAGTACATGCAACGCATCTGGAAAGCACCGTGGCTAAACCCCGTGACAAATATGTTTTGAACCTCCAGCACAAAGAAGTCCCTCATGAGGAAACCAAACAAAGGCTTTTCAGAGGCAGTTGCTAACAGAGCTCACTAAATGAGAAAGACACGTACACTACAGCAAAAACTTCTGAAGACAGGTGGAGAGGAAACAATTTCTTCTCCAGAGATGTGCAGGAGGCTCTTCAAGCAGCCTCAGTTAGCAGCCAAATGGACTTTGCTGGCTACACTTCCTCCATCGTTGTGTGTCCTGCTGTGCCTCCCCTGGGGCCAAAGGCAATGGAACACGCACATCACCAATCTCATAGAATCATAGAACCATAGAACAGTTCAAGTTGGAAGGGACCTTAAAGCTCATACAGTTCCAACTCCCTGCCACAGGCAGGGACACCTTCCACTAGAGCAGGTTGCTCCAAGCCCCTGTGTCCAACCTGGCCTTGAACACTGCCAGGGATGGGGCAGCCACAGCTTCTCTGGGCACCCTGTGCCAGCGCCTCAGCACCTCAGAGTAAAGAATATGTTACATATTACCAATATGTAATCTAAATCTCCCCTCTTCTAGCTTTATCAACTAACTTATTAAACAACTCATATTTATATAGCTTCACAGGTGATTTAAAAGACAAAATCCCAGCAACAGATCTATGGAACACAATCATTGCTTAAGCAGTATCTATTCTTTTCAAGTAGAAACAGCTCTTTTTTTTAAGTGTCCACGGTTAACCTTAACAGAGGTGGGAAATGAGTAATGAAAACATATTGCTGCTTAATAATCTAACAGAATTGATACTTATAGGTAAGTCGTTTCCCTTATAATCATCATATTTTTTCCTGTAAAGGAAGAATAGCTCAAACGGACAAATTAACAGTAGTGTGAGATCTCCTTTTTGCAGTAATGCAACTTTCCTGTATCTTTCTTTTTTTTTCCTAAACCTACATAAGCCCTTTGTTTATCAAAAAATGTGGGTGTCCCTCCTAAAGGACTATCTACTTACCAATAAATACTATAGCATATCAGTATATTGAGTACTTTTTCCCTGTGACGTACTGTTTCCACACATAAGAGCACTGCTTTTCATACATGCAACCCTTCAGATTCAGTGCACATATTTCCTGATCTGCAGGAAAGGAAAACTGCTGCATGGTAGCCAAGCAAGTGATTCAGCAAAGAGAATCCAAAGACTTAATTCTTGCCAGTTGCCAGAATGTACAAATACTTGAAAATACTACATCTTCAAGAAGCATTGCTAAAATTACAGAATGTGTGAAATACTAAAATTACACTTGGCTACATAAATTTATTTTTCCTTGGACATATGCATTATGTCTTTAACCACGTGATCAGAGTATCTATGTCTGTCTGCTCGACTACTACTCCATTCAATACTGAAAATGGACTATTCTGAATGAGTGAAGGGAACTTGCCTTTAGGATTCCTACCTCTGCGACAACAAAATTTGCTAAGTGAGTCCTGAGCGAGACTTGGAATGGCAGAAAAGGCAAGAGTAATTCTGTAATTATTAAATACTCCCCTGAAAAGGCAGATTCTACCTCTCAGACATAATTGTACTGCACTATTAGCTCAACAAAGACTCTTCAGTTTCTAAGAAATGACATTGATCACCAGGACTGTGCCCATAAAAAGTATACAAGTCAAGAGTTCTTTTCCATATTCTGTAGTGATTCAAGTAAGTGTTCTAAATTAATTAATCACAAAGTTTATAAGCTAATGTATTGTTTCTTCTAAAGGACAGAATTATCTTCATTACCTGCATATCTAAGTCTGGGTTTCACTTAGGCACATTTGCAATCTGCAAATCAAGTCAATCGAAGCTTTGAGACACAAGTGCCATGTAAATTTACATGAAGTTAAGCCATCTAAAAAAATTTAAATCTTAAATAAGTCTTAAGCATCTCAAACTGCACACATTTAATGAGCACTCAGAAAAACCCTTTCACTAGCACTCTGTTTCAGAGGAGGCATGAAAATGAATTCCTTGGTGTTTGCAAAACACTCCTACTGGCACTGCAGGAAAACCAAAGAGTAAATGCAGAGTTTTGCTTTCTGAGCAAGACCTAACTAATGCTGGAGAAAAGGTTTGGGACCTCCACTGCCAATTGCCTTGAAGTAATCATCTTCAAACCTCTTCTTAATGCACCTCCTTGCACTTGGAAAGAACTCATTGTAAACATCTGCAAAACGTCTTCCAAATTTCCCTTTACTACAATGCCTTTCTACAGACGTGTGAACAGCTGGATACTGGCACTCCAGCCAATACTGTTCAGCTATTTCCTGATATCTGTATTTCTGTCTTGCCTCTGGACTTTAAGTTTTATATAACAGAGATTGTTCCCTTCCCCTTTTGCATGACCCTAGTGTGATGGGATTTTAGAACTAGAGTAATGCTCTCAGCTAATACAATGGTAACTGTCATCTGGAAACATCATCTCCTTTTTCCCTTCCTAACAACTATCAAGCCACAGGTCTTTGTGCATTAAACAATATTTATTACAGCAAGTCAGGAAGGTCAAAGGGTTTTGATGCTATCCTGTAAGTAAAGGGAGGACGTGCCTTCACTCTTCTGAAAAGTAAGAATAATGCTCTTCCTCCCCCTCCTGCTACTGTCAGCATCTGAAGAAAACAGTTTCTTACTCTGCTATTGCTTATAAACAAACACACTGACTGCCATCTTATCCAATGTAAGCCCCTTGGCACCCACTGCTGTTTGGGATCCCTGTGTGAGACACTTGTGCCTAAACCTTCTGGGGAATGTTCAGAGCAAGTCTGCTACTTAGAACTGTATTCAACATAAGGCAGAAAATGGGATGTTTCCCATTATGCGAAACCTAGACGTTAGAAAACTGATCCAGGAACTTAGAAACCCATTTATATATCCTCTCCAACCTAAGGGAATTCACACAAGAAACCCTCTTTAAAATCCCTTAATCAACAGATCAGGCTATTCTGTTAGCTACATAGTCAGTCCAGATTGTAACATCCTTAGGTGAAACAATAGAAAAAGTGAAAGATGCCTTTGTAAGGCTGATAGTGAAAACACTTCCTTAAAAAGAGGAAACATATGTTCTCTTCTTTACTTCCAACCAACACACACAAATTGCATAAAGCAGCTCTTGAAACAAGGACTGGAAATGAACTCAGTTTGGGTCTCCTCAATCCCAAAACATATCTCGCATCATTTGGCTAAGTGTAATGCCTTGTCTTGCTCACCCTCTCTGACAAACATGAGTAAGCATTGCTTTCTAGAAACAAGTATTTTCTTCCCTACATTGTATTTAAGCCAAAGTAAATCTACCCCCAGAATTTTTGCTCATCGTTCCTTTTATGTGTATTTCTTGACTACTTGGTTCTATTTGCTCCTATGATAGAAAAGAGTAAGTAGAATAATCAATTTTCATGCAAAGCAACCAGTTTATTAACAGAGGGTGATGTGGGACCTTTCCTGATCCAGAACTGCTTCATGCTCTGCCTTCTCCGGTCTTGCACTGACTTGCCTCTCCTCCCCTGCCTCCTTCAATGAATACATGCTGCCTCACAGAGAGTATGTTCTTTGGGGTGGTTACAAGTACAAGAAGTCCAATTTATTTGAGTCTTTAGCCATTACTGCAGAGCAATTGTCAAACTACACAAACAAACAAGAATTTAAGGCGTCTGGCCATAACCTCTTACAATTATTTTGCTCCTGTGCTGCCTTTGGTACATCATTTGATTACATTTTTCCCTATTTATCTCAAAATTATGTGGGCTGGAAAAGCTCAGACAGTCGGCACTTTCTGGAAGCACTACACTTCAGAATTTCATTTCAAGGAACTGGAGAAGAAATTACGCTAACACATTTTCTTCATGTTGAGTTATGTATCGTTAAGAAGTTAAATTGCTTTTGCTCCTGAAAACCAGAGGATGAAGTGAACAAATGCCTTTTCTTTAAGTCAAATTATATTTTTAATTTGTGAGCTAGTTTTGAATTAAAACAGAAATCTCTAGAATTTTACTTTGATGAAAGCCATAATGCGGTAACAAGCTGCATTCATGAGAGCCTGAAGAGTACGAGTACTCCATGTGAGTACAAAGAGTACAGAAACTCCAAGACCTGTACCCAACCAAACTAAGTCTGTGCTCCCCATGAAACACATCTGCAAAGTTAGCTCCTCTCAAACACACATGTTCACATGCTTTTACAGACTCAACATTGTCCAGGCTGACGTGTTTTGCTAGACATCACCCAAAAGAACTATAAACTTCCCTCATCCTCCTGTACTTCCCTCATCATCCTACTGGAAAGCTGATTCTGATAAATTTAATACAACTATTTCCGATCAATTATCCACTACTTTCATTTTTGTTTGGTAGTACTTAATATTCAAATATCAGTACTAGTGCACTGATACTTGAACATTAAGTACTACCTTTTCCTTTAATCTAACTTGTGATAAAAGCATACATGTACTGCTATGACTTCAAGGACTCTCAAATTATATTGGTGCCAGATAGTGAGAGAATAAGCAAGTACTCAAAAAAACTCTTAAAGAAAATTTAAAATCCTCATTTATCTATTGGAAGTTCGCACAGAAAAGCATAAAAGGTATTGGTTCACAGTTAATATTTTAAGGAAAAGTTAAGCAATTGTTCTTACTTGTGCTACTTTCAAAATATGACACGTTAAATAAACCTCTTTTGAACAATACTTTTTTGCATTACCAAAGTGCATCACATTTACTAGAAAAGAGAAAAATCCAACATTGTTACTTTCTCTGATCAACACCAAAAAATCCTGCCAAAATCTGGACTCTAGCAAGCTTTCCTAATTATTTTTTAGCTGTTTCTCAAGTTAAAAAAGGTCTGTGCAATCACACTCTGTCCACCTGTTTTTTCCCCTTAACTTTTGAAGCTATTGCCATCTGCAAACAAAGTTTGACAGAGCCAAGAGCTTCAAAGATGATTAAGCCTCCAGGAGTTTTAGAAAAACCAATGACTGAGTAAAGGCAGCCTCTGAGAGTAGAGATCTTAACAACAGGAAGAGCCAGGACAGGCTCCATCAGGGCTTTCAGCACAGCATGCAGCAGGCCATCAGTTAACACAAGGGCTGGTGAGGATGAGCCACAGAGCACATGATGCCTCTTGCAGAGACAGCAGCAAGAGGTTTGTGGAAGAAATGTCACACGGAAGGAAACACAAGGAAAAAGGAGAAACTGGGGGGAAGAAGAGACCATGTACAGGGATGCAGACAGGAGTCCACAGGAAATGAGGCTTTAACAGGCGCAGAGCAATACAGCAACTATTTTTTGTTATTGCTTTCTGAAGAATTACTACAAAGAGTCTTGTCAGGAACACCAAGAAAAACAAAAGAACAAGCAAAATGGTGGGTTGTTGTATTCCAGCTTTTCAGAAGCAATTAGACTTAAGGTTGCTCTGTTTGCTTCAGGGCTTCAGAAAGTCTGGCTACACATTTATCTGCGGAGGGCTTCTTTTTAAGGAATTACAATAAAATACCTTTGATGCACTTAGCTTTAACCTTGAAGTACTCCAGAGTGAAAAGATGACCAACCTATCAGAAATAAGTATATAATTATTACCTCAGACCCTATGCATCCAAGCTGCAAATACATCACTCAGGGTTCGTGACATTACTTTTTCTAAGTTTGACTTACATAGCAAAATACTTCACCAACCTGAAGTGAGGCAGTGGCCCATATATAAATAGTCACACTTTACATTTCTTTGACATCTTTTCTTCTCAAATACCCAAAAACATTCTACAATTTCTTAGAAAGAGAAGTCAATCTATCATTGTCATGTGGCCACTGAGACGATAAAAACAAAGATAGCAGAACAGAGCTGCACAGCAATTCTACTTTTCGGTGAAGTACATGTAGAACGTTGTTTTCCACTTTAAGCACCTGAAGAATTTTGTCTTCAGAAGTAATTAGCAGGTTTGGAATGTGGGCAGAAAACAAGAGCCATTACCTGTATGTTTGCAGAATGTCCCCTAGGATATTGAGTGACCATTCAGAATAAAACCGTGGTTTATTTCTTCTTGTAAGAGATGGAACATGAGGTTGCAATAGGTCTTAATGTGTCAATAACGTAACAGTTTGCTGAAAGTCATTTTTTCAAAACATTACTTAAAATGCATTATGTTCTAACATTCTCATATGGCATAAACCTATTAGCTTGTCAAGGGATTTTGCCCTGTCTCCTATAATATGTTATAATACATGAGCTAATGTTTCCTGAGAAGACAATTAGATAGGGAGAATTATTTACTTTCCCAGAAAAAGCCCCAGGGTTTTACCTGTCTCTATACATCTTATGCAGAGATATAATCTCAAGGTGGCATTCATTACTGATGGTGAGTTAGAGCACTAAACACCAGTCAGAAGCCAGCACCGCTGCTCAAGGAAGCAGTGCTCTATCATCTTCCCTTTTTCCCTGCCCATCAATCCTTCCTTCCCACCACACCGCTTCCTCCCTGGGCTGCTCAACAGCCCCGGGGGAAATGATCACCACCCATCTGGAGTGGCTTCACAACAGCACAGTTAGTGCAGGTATGCATTTGTCAATGCAAAGTTAAAGAGGATGTGTTACACGCATGTGAGGAAGGAAATCAGAACAGAAATACTATATCAGTTATAACAGCAGAGAGAAAACCCTGTGTTTCCTTAAGCAATTCCACATTCTGGTGGGATCATCCCCACCACTGCCTCTGGGACTCTGCAGTACAAGCAGCTGCCTCAGTCCACAGCTAGTTCTTTTTTCAAGCTGCAGTATGAAACTTCCCCAGTTCCTTAAAATCTGTTGTCTCTGAGGAATACCAGGAGGGATTACATCATTTATGGAATAACCTAGAAATAAACCAATTCTTTCAATCATCTTGAGATGGAAACACCTGTTCAGAAAGAGAGTATGAGTGACCCAAGGAAAGGACTCCTGAATCCATGAATAAGACAAGGATTTCACCTTGTAATTCAGAGCTAGGAGGGGATAGGTGTTCATGAATTCTAAGGAAAAAGAAAATAATTTAAAGTGAGGTAATTTCCATCCTTCTTCCTAATTTTAGATACAAAATAACTAATTCAACAAGAAATATCATGTGAAGCAGTCCAAGAATGTACAATGAATTCATCTTCTTTCAGGAAGGCTGATGAAGTGATGACAACTCCCTACAGTGTGATAGCATCTGAATACTATATGTATCATTTTTATGGTTATCAGAAACAAAAAGAAGAAAAAAAGCAGTATATGTTAGTTATTTTTTATACTGTGGCTAATACTTACTGATCTGGCATTGCAATAAAATATGATTTGAGAATATCTGCAATGGAAAGCATAGTAAAAATCTTTTAAATACAATAAAAGGTAGGAGTTTAATTGTAATTGATTTTCTATTTAAAGATGATGCTTATCAAATCATGCTGCAGGCATGAATGACCACAGAATATTCATACAATGTTGTATCTTTTACTGGCAATTGAGTTGTCTTCAACACTGGTTAGCAGCTTGCTACCGAATGCATAAGATACCTGTATTAAGGTAGATACTATTTTATTAAGAATTAATACTACAGTATTGAGCTCATTAGATTTACTCTGATGATAATGTCAACATTTGTTCAAGGGAGATATTTTTCTTACACAGGTAGATACAGACTGCTTACATGGCCCAAGGAACAAGCATCTCCATTTTCTCTTCTCAAAACATCAGGCAAAAAGTCTCATAGATTAGTGCTCCTCTTCCATGGGTCTGAAATGATTTTGCACTGTTTGCCATAGTAATATGGAAAGGGAAACATGCCTATGATTTATTCCTGGTCTGGAGACCTTCTTTTGCTAATGTAATGTACATACAGCACTGACCAATCAAAAGTCATTTCAATCATCAGTGCTTTGAAACCTAAGTTATGTCAGGAAGACTGGCAAAGCCTCTCAGTGGAACTATGTTTGTGCCTCTTAAAGGAATCAGCACATATGATCATTTACTATGATTTGTACTGTCCATGAGAACCCCATCTTGCTCCTGCCTTGGACTCCTTTTAACTGTTTCCATAAACGACCAAGAAATTCCATGTTGAACATTTCACAAGGAGATGACAAACACAGCCTACCTGTGAGATCAGTTCCTTCTGGAAAGATGAGGAGTTGCAGTGGTTCACGAATGTCACAGAAATAATCCAGCATTTTTTCAAAGTGACTCTTGTCATTTTCCCACTTTCTCTGAATGAAAATAAAGGCAGCAACTTGCATCGCCCAGCCTAAGGTTTAAAAATACACACCTTTAGTAACATTTCACACTGATACTTCTACGGTGTCTGTTATTCCAAAATATCTATAAATCGTCTTACACAGAACATTTTATTTGCTGACCTGTCCTCACCCTCCGATCAAGAGAACTTAGTTACCTTGTAGGAGTTTTGGATAGGAAGCAAAAGACTGCATCATCTAAATAAATAAATCTAAATAAATTTGGAATGACTACAGCTTTGCAAAACTCAAGTTACCAGAGAGCAACAGTAGAGACAATGCTGTCAGGAAAGAAGGTTGCAGCAAGGTGGGTGTCAGTCTCTTGTCCAAGTAACAAGCAACAGGACAAAAGGAAATGACCGTAAGGATTTAGACTGGGTTATCAGGAAAAATCTCCTCACTGAAAGGGTTGTCAAGCATTGGAACAGGCTTCCCAAGGAAGTGGTGGAATCACCGTCCCTGGAGGTATTTAGGAGACCCTGTTTAGGGGTAGACTTGTCAGTGCTGGGTTAAAGGTTGGACTTGATGATACTTAAGGTCTTTTCCAACCTAAACAATGCTATGATTATATGAGGCGAAGTATTTAAAACCATGTCCCTCACTATAGTATCCTTAATCACTGCAACATAGATTTGCCCTATGGACAAATATCTCAGAAATGCACTGCATGACAACAGAAAGCTGCATTATATGGAGACAGTTGCCCTTAGTAGTGCGTATTAACCATGTGCATTGTGCAGAAAATATCTATTGCTTCTAGGGCTTTATTACATATACTTTCTTACAATTTTCATTACTAATAGAAGAAAATATAAACTTGTTCTTCACACTTGCTTATAGGAAAGTTTGATGTGTATCTATTCGTTTGTATTAAAACACAAGACAACTGTGTTGATTTACAGCCTGACAAACTGGCAATGTAAGGCAGTTAAATAAATGAAACTGCTGCTGAGCCTGCAGCTCTGGGGTCACAGGCCACTGTCTTCAATAAACGTTCTTGGCTTTTTGGGCACAATTTAGTATACAGGATATCACCTAATATTAGAAGTTCTGTCTAATAGTTCAGACAGCAGGATGAAAAATCAGGGCTCTAGTTCTACCACATGCCTGTGATGCTCCCTTCTTCAACAGGGCTCAGAGAAGCATGACATTGCCTTACCACTGTACCTGGCTAGCTTGTGTATCTCATCAGAAAACCTGCAGATGGATGTTTCACATCAAAGAGAAAACATCACAGCTTCCATCCTCCTCTTTGCTCACCACAGCCCTCAAAATCTGTTTTTCCTTTGCTGGTGACTTACAGCATGTTATTCTTGCACTTTATTTCAGCTGCTCTTTACAGGGATTCCATTCTATTCTGTTTGTGTCGGTATCTTAAAAGGAAAATATGCTGGAACTTTACTTATAAACTCACCAATTTTTAAAACAACGTCATAATTCAGTCTGGATAATGCATTAACCAAGCTGCAGAATCACTTCTGTATTGTTTAGGAACCTTAATTGTAGTATTAAAGATGTGTAATGTGTAACATGGGGTAGATGCTTCTTATTTTTACGTCAAAAGAACAGATGGAGCATGCATAACTAACATGCCTTCTGCAATCTGGACTTAATGAGTCTCAGATATTCAGATAATTAATGATATCCAGATAACTGCATACTGGAAGTGGTTGTATGAATTAAGAAAAGAAATGCTCAGAATGCAGTCTCAGCAAATCTTACATGCTGTACTTGCTAAAAACCCTCTATAAACAGAACTAAACTTTGACCACAACGTTTTATGTGCATTAATGCATGTATCACATTCCTACATCTGCAGTGTCAAGAAGGATCAGTACAGCTTTTTTAATAGAGGCTATCCATATTTAAACAAAGCATATGCAAAAAACTAACAGTCAATTTTAAAGTAACAGAAAAAGAAATCTTGCATAATTTAACTATGCTTTCTTCTGGCATTTAGTCATCTCCTCTAGCACAATACATTTCACTACTCTAGTGCCAAATACCGAATGGTACCAAAATATTTGTTTTGCCTAGAAGATACATGGAGATTGTATGAATCTGCATCAGGGGAAGTTCAGACTGGACATTAGGAAAAGGTTCTTCACTGAGAGGGTGGCTGGTCCCTGGAACAGGTTCCCCAAAGAAGTGGTGGTGGCACCAAGCTTGTCAGAGTTTAAGCAGTGTCTGGACGATGCTCTTAGTAATAAGGTTTAGTTTTAGGTAGTCCTGCAAGGAGTGGGGAGTTGGACTTGATGATCCTTATAACTTGAGATACTCCACAATTCACTGTGAGGGTGGTTAGACATTGGAACAGGCTGCCCAAGGAAGTTGTGGATGCCCCATCCCTGCAAGGGTTCAAGGACAGACTGGATGGGACTTGGAGCAACCCGGTCTAGTGGAACGTGTCCCTGCCCATGGCAGTGAGTTGGAACTAGATGAGCTTTAAGGTCTCTTCAAGCCCAAACCATTCTATGATACCTCATTTGAAACCAAACTCATAAAAATAGACACGGCAAAGGAAGAAAGTATTTTAAGCAGAAACAGAAATGCCTTGTACTCTACCATGTACAATTCTGAAATGGGACAGAAAAATATTTAAAGATTAGGAAAGTTGTGCTGTGGTTTTCGTGTTTTGCAATCATTCTTACCCCTCATTCCAGACCTTCTGCATGTATCCTGGGCACTACACCTAAATTAGTTTATGCAAAACCTGTACTGTGCTAAACCATTTTATTGTGTGGTATCACACACCATGCCTAAATTATTCAGCCCTTGTATTCTCATTACAACAGAGTCCATAGGCAGAAAGAAGGGAAACAAGAAGTAAAATAAAAGCCTGCTGATACTTTCCCTGGTCAGCAGCTCCTTAGGAAGAGTTGGTTTCAGTGTCTAACAGAGAAAGCATGGAAAAAAACATCACTGTCAGTTCCCACCCTCTCCTCTACCTTTCTTCATGCAGCACAAGGCTTTAAATTACATGGAAACTTGCATATAAACTCTTTCTAGCAATCATTCTTTAACAGCACTGTGAACATCAAGTTATAAACACCTTTAGCTAGCAAGAAGGCTGCTGCTTGGGTGACTCGTATTTTATCCAACCGAACTCCTTCAAAGCAGAGGATATAGTGCAGCAGTTTCCCATTCCTGTTCTAAGTGTTGGAGTCTGTACAGGCCATGAAAAATTAAACAGAGACAGTAATGTAATGACATTACATTAGTGTGTCAGAGAAGATGAAGAAACAAAGAAGGGAAGGGAGCTGGGAGGCATCCAGTTTTTAAAGTAAACAACAGGTTTGATTTTCTCACCTTTCCAATAGATAACATCCAGTGTTCTGGAAGAACTATTCTATCTTTAAGTGTATATCTAATTAGACAAAACAGTCCTGACTGCTCAAATAAGAACAGGTTATCTAACACCCAGATGACTAATAGTAAAGGGCTCAGGTTTTCCTCCCCACTTAGCCCAGCACAGGACACTCGACCAAACTATTTTACCATCTATGACAGTAGAAGGATCTTCCACATTTCCTCAAGCTTTAATGCATCCAACGAAAGGCAACAAAAACGATGAATTACTGCCTTCAACCAAAACCCTGATCCATGCACTGATGGGGAAAAATGCCTGCTGTTTACACGTCTCACCAGCCCACCAGATTGAAGCAGGAGAGGAAACCCAGCACAGGCTTGCAGACGCATGCCTTTGAACAAAGCAAAAGCAGCTCTTTTGATTTCCATTCCACAGCGTGCCTGCATTGTGCTGCTGGAAAAACAACACATAACAAGTCTGAGGCACGATGTGGGATCCAAACGGGAATGCACAGAGAAACGGGAATTCAGTAAAGCAATGGGCAAAATGAAAGGTTTTGCTAATCAGCAAGATTTCTGAACTAGCAGCAGAAGGAAGCACCTCATGTGGAGCCTGCAGTGAGACTTGCTGTTCAGTTCATTATTAAGTTTAGGTCAGCATATTGTCCAACAGAAGTAATTATATTTTGCTCTATCTGCACAGCATTTTTGGTCATCTAAAAGCTCCTGGGCAACAGGAATTTTCCTAGCAAAGGCAACATTTACATGACGGGGGGAAAACGGTTGCCTTTTGATTTGCAGGTTCTTGAGAAATCATTGGTTAAAAAAGCACAGCAGAGAAACAGCAAAGCTAAAGAAATCATAACAATGCAAATCAATTTCTTTGCTACAACAATCTTCTTGTAGGAGCTGACATTTTGGATAACTAACATCGCTTGGAAGAGCATACAGAAAGCATCACACTGCAAAGCTCTTATTCAAAACTGCAAAACAGCAGTGCAAAAACCTAACAGGTAGAGTAACTAGTCACCCTGACCTTTAAATCAACTTTTCAGAGCTGAAAAAAGCAGCTTCAAATCGCCAGTAACATGCTAATGATACATATTCTGTCAGGACATAATTGTACACAGAATAAAAAATACACTTACACAAAAAGGAAAGCCTGCTATTGAACTAGAGAAATGTGCTGTACAGAATTTCCTTCCTAGCCTTGGGGATAAAGCAAATTATAGCTCATGCAGGTTGAGAATTTACAGCATTGTATTTAAAATGCTAGCTGCAAGCATACAGCTTTTTAAAGTCTAAGACCCGGCACTTCTGTTTTCCTCACCCCAAAACCCTTTAACAGAAAACAACACTTGAAACTGAAATTTCTTAAGTGTGTTTTCATTGCAAAGGTGATTTGGGAGTACGTAGATACTAGGGATGGAAGTGGCAATGAACAAAATAAGAAAGAGGTGAGTTATGCAAAGAAAGTGTTTGGTTTTGTATCATAATTTTACGTATATTTCCGTAAGTAGCTCTGAAATTAGATATCCCAAAAAAAAGTCATGCCTCTGTAAGTGGAATATTATGTATTGAAACCAAAGGCACATCAAGAAAATCATATCTATGTATTTCCTATAGCAATGTAACAAAACAGCTAACAATACTAACCCCCACCCCCCACACACAAAGAAATAGGAACAAGTAGGAAAGTAGA